AAAGCCGGTGGCTGGGAGCTGCTCGGAAAACGGGGAAGAAATTCCCACCGCTGTTCAGGCTAGCGAGCAAAAGCAGGCATAAGAACTAGGGTTATAAACCCTAATTAAACCTTCATGGTAATGAGCTAATAGGCCAGGTGAAGCAGAGCGTGGTGTGGGATTCCCATGCCTTCTCCCCGCTGCACTTGGGTATTGCTGGGGTTATTCCCATGGGGAACAGCCTCCCGACCGGGTTGCAAACTGGTGCGGCACCAGTGACCGTGGTGTGGCAAGAGGAGGCCCCGAGATAAAATGGTTTGATCTCGCTCAGGTGCGTAATTTGGGTTATAATCTGCTGTTTTCATCTCTCTCCACGTGCAAGGGTGTGAAGCAGTCTGGCAAAACGAGTTTGAAATAATAACTGGGCTGAGCCCACCCCGCCTCGGGAGGCTGCTGGGGAAGGGAACCGAACCCCACCGGAGCTCTGCACGGGGACGCTGACCTTCCCCCGGGGCCGGGGGGACCCCGAACCCCCCGATCCTCCCTAGTCCCAGCGCATCCTCCCCTTCCCTCCTCTGCAGGCAGAGATTTCCAGACGGCGTTTGATGGCAAAGCCTGGGGTGACCCACGTCCCATCGCCCTGCAGAGCGGGATGGAGCGGGCTCCTGCCGCATCCTCATCCCCCTCCCCTTCCCCAGCCCGTTTTTTTGTGGTTAAATAACCGTTTCTCGTAACCGAAGCCTGCCGGGGCGTACCTGCCACCCAGATGCTCAGAAGAGGCCGCAGTCCTTGAGGTTCTCTTTGATGATGACATCCGTGACGGCGTCAAAGACGAATTTGACGTTCTGCGTGTCTGTGGCACAGGTCATGTGGCTGTAAATCTCCTTCACGTCCTTTCGCATGTTGAGATCAAGGAACTGGGTCTTGATGTAATTTCCCGCGTCTTCAAACGTGTTGGGACCTGCGGAGGGAGGAAACGATGCTGCTGCTGAGCTGCTCCCGTGGGAGATGACTGTCAGAGCTGGGCAAGGACCAGGGGATGCTTCAGGCTTGTTTTTAAGAGATCTCCCTCCGGAGGAGGAAGAGGAGGAGGAGGAGAAGGGCTGGGTGACAACCGCACCTAGCAAAGCAATTTTAAAAAGCACCATTTTATCCCATTTCAATCCTTCCAAACACCTTCCCGAGGCCACATCTGTCCTCTCCTCTGCTCCTGCTTCCAGGGACTTGACTTGATCCCAGCATCACCCAAACCCAAGACGCTTGGGTTGGGTTGGGACCACGCGGCTCCCCGCCGGGGACCGTTTGAGGGGGGTCTCGAGGAGGGGGAACAAACTGACTCACCGTCATAATCTGGGAAGCAAATGCTGAGATGGACTTTCTTGATCTTTTCCTCAAAAAGGTCCTTCTTGTTGAGGAAGAGGATGATGGACGTGGCGGCAAAGAACTTGTGGTTGCATATACTGTTGAATAGGTGCAGGGATTCGTGCATGCGGTTCTGCAAGCAAACAGGCTCGTTGGTGCAAAGTGCCGGCGCTTATTCACAAACCCCTTTTGGCCATTGCAGCCTCCCAAATCCCCCCCATTCCCGAGACGAGAACTTTTCCCCGTGCTGCCGGGGATGCTCCTGTTTGCCGCAGCAGCAAACGGCTCTGCTGCCTGTCCCCTGCCTGCACCGTGAGTCCCATCCGAAAAGCCCCCGTCCCGCGGTGCGAGCATCCCGGATAAATCCAGGTGGTCCTCGGGATGGGGAGCGGTGTTAAGCAGCTCCGGGCAGCTCCAATCCCTCCTGGCAGCTTCTGGGATGTTTAGAAATGAAGGCTTACGGTGGGAAAATGATCCGGGGAAAGCCCTGCGGCGTGGCTGCTGGAAGGTGCTGGGTGAGGGCGTCGAGCTGCCGGCCCCGTCATCCCGGCCCTGCTGCGGGATGCTCTTGCTGGATTGCAGCCCCTGGCTGTTACCCGCAGTTTCGGAAAGGAGCGGGGGGAAAAGGAAAAGCTCTGGTTTTAAAGCAGATGCGCGGTTTCTCATTCGCTGCAGGGGCATCCTCGGGAGGACGAGGCTCCATCCAGCTGGAGCTAAGTCCGAGCGGCGGAGCTAAGCCCGGGCGGCGGCTTTTGCCGCCCTGCTGATGGAAGGTGGATCTCCTTCACCTTTGCGTGGCAGCGGGCAGATTCTTCGGGGATGACGGGGATGTCCTGTCCAGATTCCTCTTGCAGCAGTTTTTCCGTATGGCTTCAGCGAGCGGGGGCACTTGCGGGGCCGGCTTTGGTCAAATCCTGCCCCATCCGGCGCGGGGAAAGCGTTACAGCCTCTCCGGAGGGCTTCGGTGGGAAAGATGCTCTCTCCTTCCCCCGTCTGCCTTCCGCATGCTGCTGAGGAAGGGCTGGGTGCTCCTGCCCAGCCTCGGCAAGCCCCGCGGGTGCAGAACCCAGCCCCGGCGAAGGCATTTGGACCCCAGAGCTCCAGAGAGCATCCGCGGGACCGGCCGCTGGAGGAGATGCCGGTGAGGATGCTTTGCCCCAGGCCGGGGAGAAGGCAGCCTGGTTCCGCTCTGCTCGTTTTCACCCCTTATTTCTTCTGAGAAATGACAGTTTTGGGGCTGTCGTGTTCCTTCTCTCCGGACCTCCGCCCTCGAAGCTGCTTTTCCCCGGTGCCGGAGCAGCGGCTCCGCCGGAGCGTCCCCCTCCCGCCCCCCGGAGGGGTTTGC